GGGTGACCATCAATCACCAGCCGGCAAGTTTGTAGCGCAGTGCACCGGGAAAGTAGCTCTAAGGCGATTTCGCTTGTGAGACGTGGTTCCATGCGTCCGGCTCCTGTGATTGAAACCTCTGTCAGAGTATTCCAGCGAAGCGGTAATTGCAGGGGACTGAAATTGATCCCGGCAATAGAAACGCTGGACATCTCTGACCCACGGAGGAATCCCAGCCCAGCGACCTGCGTAGTCTCGTCCTCCGCCGCGTCAAACCTCCGACGTATGTGTATGATAACGGACTTCAGCCGAGGCACATCGGCAGTGGTAAGATGGGACCAGGGTGCCAGAACCGATGCTGGGATCGTGAGGCTGATATACTCCCAACGGGAGGCAAATGGAATCAAATATTGGTGGAGAAAGTTTGGTGTGGTTGTTGGGAGAGGATCGTCATAAGGGCTTTGGACCGAAATGAACAATGGGCAGTCGCCGGATCGATTCAGCCACGTCTCGGCCGTCTGGAGCCGCTGCAGCATTTTCGCCTCAGAGTTGAATGAAGCAAGGCGATGCGACTGATTTCCTGGGAGGACAAGATGGAGCTTAGACCAGAGACGGGGTGTCGAGAGGGAAATGGTTCGCCATGAGCTGCATACGCGCCCGAGGAGGACGGGTGCCTCGGTGGCGCTCATAGCACAATTACGGGGCCACGGGAGGCAGGCGAGGAAGACTTCCTGGATAATGTCGAGTGGGAGTCGCCGGACCGGCGAAATGAGAGCTCTATGGGCGTCCACGTAGGCCACAAGCCTGACGCGCTCCTCCGTGAGTTTGTCAAGGGCCTTCTGCACTTCGCTGATTTCATCGTCAAGACGCTTCAGCCGCTGAGTCGGCTCAACGAGGAAAGCTCGGATCTCGACGATCTCTTCATCCTGGGGGCAGTAATTGGTCCCCAGCTTTGAGGTGAATGGAGACGACATGGAAGTCGAAGGCGGTGCATCGGCAAGCATGCACAATCACTGAGCCTTCACGATAACGTGATTGGCACCACGAGCCCACGTGACACATCGCGTAGAACCCAAAATAAGTTACAATCCAGATATTCGAGAGATTGGTCGATTGGGGTCAGAAGGTACTGGATCTGATTTAAAGCCAGCATAATCCTGTGGGAAATAATTGACAATAGACCCAGGCACGACAGCCTGCTTCGTAGTCGGGCAATTTTCGTAGCATCGCGAATTTGTTCTGCGCGATGCGTCACGAGAGTCAGTTGGCAAGTTATGATCCAGATATGGGTCCATTTGGTTATAAAAAAATTATCATCCTGGTGAAATAATTAACTTGACCTGATTCTGGGGTCGTCGTACCTGGCTACAGAAGTCGTGCGACAGTACACTACGTAAAGTAGTATGTTTGGGGTGGATATGATACAAACTAAGGTGAGTACCGGAGCTTGGTAAGAGTAAACCGAGACAAGTAAAAGTAGAGTACGTACAATGTAAAACATGTGGTTGGAGAGGTAACGACGGGGAAGAGAGATACCAGAGGGAGCTGGGGTAAGGCCCGTTGAATTGACAATAGGTCAGTTCATAACTCACAGAATTTTCGGTTCGAAAATGCTCTGTACTTCTGGCGTGGTTTCAGCCGATGTATCGCGACCGCACTCTCCGTACAGTGCCGCAGGAGAGCTTGACTTGAATCCAGGCGAGGTCGGACCATCTTTGGCAACTCCGTTTTCATTTTATTCTTGTCTCGCGCGGGTTCGACTAATAACGTAAATTGGCGCACCAATTTAGGGCTAACTTAGTAGAGATGAAGCCTGGTGGCGAATGGTATCGCGCCCACACCCAATTACTGCCGTTTATATATAATGTTGGCATAGCTGGTTCGAATCCAGGCCGGAGCCAACAGCGAGATACATTTTTTTGCAGGTGGTGAAAATCGGGCACGGTCCGGCTGGTCTGGCTGGTATATGCACCCTCCCGCCGTGCATTAAAAGAGCCCGTGTGAACTGTAAATTATAACGCGACCACAGCCAAATAGCCCGAAAGAATGACAGTTTCCCCAGTCTACACCCAGCCGACGAAGCCCTGCGCGCACACCAGCGAAGCAACCAACACCCACAGGCCACGCGTCCCCCACTCCATCCCGCTCGCCGCCGTCCCCGTCTGGCCCCCGCCCCCGCTCCCGCCCGGCGTCCCACTCGGCCCCACCCCACTCGCGCTCCCACTCACACTCGTATTCGCCCCACCCGTACCCGCGCCCGCACCAATCTGCGTCCTCGGCGTCGCCGCGTCGTACGCCCGGCGCCCGAGCCGTGTCTGAGTCGCCTGTTCGTACGCGTACGCAAAAGCGAGGAGCCTTTGCTCGCTGAACGCCGTGCCGACGAAGGTGAGCCCGAAGGGCATGCCCGGCGCGTCGCCGATGGGCTCGTCCTTCCCGCCCGGGGCGGTGGGCTTCGTGGAGTTGGGGCGGAAGCCGAGGGGGACCGTCACTAGAGAGAGGCACGTGGCGTGAGCAAACGGCTGAGATGAGCCCAAAAGGAATGGGCGCGTACCGATCGGGTAGCCCACTACACGCGAAGAAAAATGCGTGAGCTTTTATCCACTCGCCGCTGCGCAGAATGTTCGACGCACCGTACCCCGCCAGCTGGTACATAAAGCTGTTCTCCGGCAGCACCAGCGCGTCCAGATTATACTGCTTCAGCACCGCGTCGATCCCCCGCGTCGCACCCAGCTCGTGGTTCATCGTGAGCGCCGCCGCGTACGCCGCGTCCACCTGCATCGGCTCCGCGAGGTCGAAGTGCAAATTCCACTCCGCGTACGCGTCGATGGGCGGCTCCTCGAGGTCCTTGTGCGCGTCGTTGAACGCGGCGATGTCCGCGATGGTGTGTACGTTTGTTGGGATGGACTTGAGCGTGGCGAGGTAGGCTTGGATGTCGACTTTGAGGTCGGTGTGCAGCACGGTCTGTGTATATGTAGAAGTAGTCAGTCCGGTATGTCGAGGAGAAAAAGTAGTTTGAGGGTGAACGAGAGAGAGAGAAAAAGAGAAAAGAAAGGACGCACGCTCCCAGCGTCGTTCCCCAGGATGTCCTTCGCGGAGGGCACATCGGCGGGATCGGTGATCGCCGCGCCCAGCCCTTGCATCGTCTTCAGCGCCGCCTTGAGTGCGTCCGCGCCGGGCACAGCTGTGCACTGCCAGTGAGCAACAGATCCAAAGAACAGAGAGAGTGGCGCGACGCACGTCCATACGCGGTGTCAATGAACACGGTGCGCGGGACGCCGAGGCGCGCGCCCTTGAGCGCGTCTTTGCTGAGGGCCGCGGTGTAGTTCGGCACGCTGCCGGGCTGCGCGTCCGTGTACTTGTCCGCCGCGTCCTTCCCCGCGATCGCTGAGTCGGTCAGCGGAGGATCGACCACTCGTAGATGGGCAGTGCGTACCAGAGAGCACGATAGCGGCGTCGGTCACCGTGCGCGTCAATGGGCCTGTGGAAGCCTATGTGAGTTTCGACCAATGGGGTGTCGAGAGCGCACGCACCGACGGTATCCTGGTGCTCGCTCACGGGGATGACTGTAATGATCTTAGCCATGCGCCTGCGGAACTACAGAAGGGCGTACCGCCAGTCCGCGACGTGAGGCCCACCGTGGCCTTGACGCCGACGACGTTGTTGTAGCTCGCCGGACAGGTGATGCTCCCCGCCGTCTCCGTTCCTGCCAATGCTGGCGTGAGGACGCGTCGTCTCGTGGGTTAGTACCGACCCAGTGTTGCTGCGGCCAGACCAATAGCGGCGGACACGCCCGAGCCGCTGCTGGAGCCACAAGCGTCGCCCTGGGTCATTCCGTCAGCTGCGAAGCAGCAGAAACACCGGCACAGACCTTGGGGTAGTACGGATTCGTGGTTTGGCCGCCGCGGCCAGACCAGCCATCGGGCGCGAGCGGGCCAAAGGCTGCCCATTCAGACTGTAGGATAGAGAGATCAGCATTGACCCCCATTTGTCCGGCACGTCTAATTACCATGTTCGTCTTGCCTAGAATAATCGCCCCGGCCTGAGAGACCGAATCGTGAGCGATGTCGCTAGCACCCCCGCGCACTGACCTGCCGCAGTTTAGCCACCACCGTTGCATCCCCCGGCACGACGCTGTTGAGCAGCGCATAGGAGCCGGCGGTGGTGTTCATCCCGTCCTCGAAGCGCGTCGCGATGTTGTCCTTGACCAGAATCGGGATGCCGTGCAGGGGCCCGAGCTTCGTGCCCTGCTTGCGCTGCGCGTCGAGGTCCGCTGCTTGTGCGAGCGCGGTCGGGTTCGTCTCGATCACGGCGTGCAGTTCGCCGTTGACTTCGTTGATTCGCGCAAAGTAGGCCTGGCGCGGGGCATGTCAGATGCACTAGTACTGTGAAGACACGAGAGTGGGTGTGGGGTTCGCACGTTGACCAGATCGACACTGGTAAAGTGGCCCGCGTCGAGGCCCGCTTGCAGGTCGGCGATTGTTGCCTCGTAAAGGTCTGGGAATGTTGAAGCATCCGCTCGAGGCGTGGAAAGCGAGAGGACAGGTTTCAAGGCGAGGGCCAGAGCTAGAAATGAACTGAAGAGCATTGCGGCGCGAACAGACGAGACGCTTCGATCGACAGGACGTTAAATGGTCGGGCGTTTGGTGCCACGACGGCGAGACATAACCGCACGCCTCGAATTGATCACATCATGGCGGCTGATCCGCTGGGCGATCAAGTCTTGGCGACGAAAAGGGGCTTGTGTTAGATTTGAGTTCGATTCGTGGGGTGCGCTACAGAGTTAACAATCAGGTCACTTCCCACAAAAAAAAACCAACACATGGAACGACCTCGACTTGATTCGAACCAGCGTTACCCTCCACGTCACGGTTGCTTGTCACTTTCAGTACACAGTGTGGGTGCGATACCAATCGCTACCAGGTCTCATTTCCACCAGGTTTGACTTCGCTTCGCAGAGGATTCACTGCGGATCGAACGAAGCGGGACATGCCACAAAAGAAAAAAACAATAATCAGGTAGAACGACCTGGGCTGGATTCGAACCAGCTGCGTCCCTTTGCGTTGTGCAATTCTTGCAACAGGGTGTGGTGCGATACCATTCGCTACCAAGTCTCATTCCTACCAGCGCAGCCATATATTGCTCCTGTGATTTTATCCGTGATCACAGTGGAACCATTGCGGAATGTGTTGGGTATTTTGCAGCTACAAGCGCGACAGCATTTGTCTGAATACAATGATCGCAGCACACCTTTGTATTCAAGATCCCTGCGCTCAATGTTAGACAGCTTCTTTTGAAGCTAGCCTACTCGGAGCGATGCTTGACAACATGTTTTAGGAATCCAGTTGATTCAAGAGTTTGACATGCCTCCAACCAATGAAAATCATGGCACAAATCGGGGTCTAATTGGGTTACAGCAAGACCTGGTGGCGGATCATATCGCGCCCCGACTCTGTAGCTGATCAGTTATGAAGTGCAGGGAGAGACAGCTGGTTCGAATCCAGCCCAGGTCATTGGTCAGATGGATGTCGGTTCTTTTTTTCTTGTCCTTTCTTCTTCCCGTAAGTAAAATCACGCATGAGTGTGCATCCACTATGTCAGAAACAGGACCTGGTACCGGATGATAGAGTGCATGCACCCTGTGTAAAATAGTTGATTCCCAACGCGCAGTGGGAGAGCTTGGGTCGAATCCAGCCTAGGTCGTTGCGTAGCTTAACAACATTAGAAATTAATTCGGTTGATTCAATCTGGCACGCCTCGAACTAACATCGCACCATGAATCGGGTTTTAATTTTGCAGCTTTAAGACCTGGTGGCTGATGGTATAGCGCCCCCACTCTGTAAAAGGATTACGACGGTCAGGGGAGGACAGCTGGTTCGAATCCAGCCCAGGCCTGTAAATAAGAAGGTCGATTGGTTTTTCTTTTCTTTTCTCCTTCCCGTAACATCGGAGCACAAGTCTGCGTACACTCTAGCCCAAAGGGGAGCTGGTGGCGGATGGTATCGCCCATGCACCATATGAAAATAGTTAATGTCCAAAAGTACGGTAGGAGAGCTTGGTTCGAATCCAGCCTAGGTCTTCGCGTCGCTTGACAACATTTTTTGGGTAGAAATTAATTCGGTTGATTTAAGAGTCCTGGCATAGCTCCATCCAACGCAAAGCACAGCACAAGTCCTGATAGCTCTAAGGTAAAACCCAGACTTGGTCGCGGATGGTCTCGCGCCCCCGCTCTGTAAAGAAAGAACGTAGAGGGTGCAAGGGGAGAGAGCTGGTTGGAACCCAGCCCAGGCCATTATTAGTGCTTCTGTCTCATTTTCGGGAGTGGCTCGTTCACTTTGGCCCATTTATTCTCGACAGAACCGTAGACTCGGTAGAGCATCCGCCTCAATACAGCCTCAACAGCCACACACGACTCCAAGGAATCGCTCTGCCTTCACTGACGGCACACTCCCAGCACGAATGAGATGAATCAGGTAGGAATGGGCCCTGGTGGCGATGGCATCGCATCCGTACCCAGCGAGAGAGAATGATGAAGTGTGTAGCGGGAGAGCCTGGCTCGAATCCGGCCCCCGGCATCGTGGATAATATTTTGTGAGGTGTGCTCCATTCTCGGCGTCTGAAGCGTTGGCCTTTTGGATAATCAGCAAGTGAAATATGGACACGGAATTGGCTTACATGAGAAGGCCGAGCATGGATGTATAGCTTCAAAATATAGAGAAAGGCATAGTAATAAAATGTGGGGCTGCGTCGATAGGAATGGGACCGCCCAGTAAAAAAAAAAACCTTGTGGCGAATGACGTCTCACTCGGGAGTACTTTGTAAGGCTGTCTTCAGCAGCAAGAGCCCGCATCCCGCAATAAAACAAAAAGGTGCAGTAGGAGAGCGGGGTGCGGATGTCGTGAATTCGTTCACGGCCTTCCTCGAAATGCCCGGACTGTCTCGTGTTACAAGTACGAAAATTCCCGTTCATATATGCTCGACTACGTCGATTACATCTTTACTTCTGTCGCAGAAAATTGTCAACATTCTAAAAAATACAAAGACGCCACCAGGATTGTTTTCTCCGTCCGCGACCATGAGAAACCCGGGTGGGTGGGGAAACCTACGAATGCTCCCTGCGCGTGTTCCGGTTTCAGTAGTCGTTCGGCGCAGTGCTCGGGTCATCCTCGAGTCCCTGCCACGGGGACACCCTCCAAACGGGAGGCGGAGGATATATTAAATCGATATGAAGACCCATATCCATCAACGGTTGGAGGCCTGGAAGAATATCGACTTGCATCGGGCGGGAAAAGGAGATTGAGACGCGCGCCGATGCGGCGAGCGTTCGAGTGGAAATCCCTGTTTTGATGAACTGCAAAACAGCCTCGTCTGAACACGACCGGCAGCCGCGCATCTCCAGCTGCTTTAAACCAGAGAAGTATGGGCCATGTAGGTCCGGAGGTGAGATGAGCGCTACCAGAAGGTTGTCATCGAGAAGAATTGACTCGCCGCTAGAATACTCGGTGATGCGGAGATCCTGGATGGTGGGAGGAAGACCACGAAAGAACTCGCTTAGGGACGACTCGGAAAACAGATGGAGGTCGATGTTGAGACTCTCGATGCACGGGGCAGTGGCCAAAAAACCGGTGGTATGTGAAATGCGGGCTGGGTCATCGGAATATCCTGAAAGCGTTAAATCGCGCAACTCCGGAGGCGAAAGGCGGCTGAAGAGGTGGTGAAAAGTGAGTGAGGGGAGGCCAGAAACCCAGAGGTCCAATGTATGCAGGAATGCGCACACGATGGTGGGTTCAAGAACTGCGCCACTGCCGGAGTCTGGATGACCATGAATCGCCAGCCGGCAAGTCTGTAGTGCAGTGCACCGGGAAAGCAGCTCTAGGGCGATATCGCTTGTGAAAGGGGGTTCCATCTGTCCTACTCCTGTGATCGACACCTCTGTCAGAGTATTCCAGCGAAGCGGTAATTGCAGGGGACTGAAATTGATCCCGGCCAGAGAAACGCTGCATATCTCTGGCCCACGGAGGAATCCCAACACAGCGACCTGCGTAGTCTCATCCTCCGCCGGGTCAAACCTCCGACGTATGTGTATGAGAACGGACTTCAGCCGAGGCACATCGGCAGTGGTAATATGCGACCAGGGTGCCAGCACCGATGCTGGGATCGTGAGGCTAATATGCTCCCAACGGGAGGCAAATGGAATCAAATATTGGTGGAGGAAGTTTGGTGTGGTCATTGGGGGCGGATCGTCATAAGGGCTTTGGACCGAAATGAGCAACGGGCAGTCGCCAGATCGATTCAGCCACGTCTCGGCCGTCTGGAGCCGCTGCAGCATTTTCGCCTCAGAGTTGAATGAAGCAAGGCGATGCGATTGATTTCCAGGGAGAGCAAGATGGAGCTTAGACCAGAGACGGGGTGTCGAGAGGGAAATGGTTCGCCATGAGCTGCATACGCGCCCGAGGAGGACGGGTGCCTCGTTGGCACTCATAACACAATTACGGTGCCACGGGAGGCAGGCGAGGAAGACTTCCTGGATAATGTCGAGTGGGAGTCGCCGGACCGGCGAAATGAGAGCTCTATGGGCGTCCACGTAGGCCGCAAGCCTGACGCGCTCCTCCGTGAGTTTGTCAAGGGCCTTCTGCACCTCGCTGATTTCATCGTCAAGACGCTTCAGCCGCTGGGTCGGCTCAACGAGGAAAGCTCGGATCTCGACGATCTCTTCATCCTGGGGGCAGTAATTGGTCCCCAGCTTTGAGGTGAATAGAGACGACATGGTCACATGGAAGTCGAAGGCAGTGCATCGGCAAACATGCACAATCAGCGTCCACGATAACGTGATTGGTACCATGAGCCCACGTGACACATCGCGTAGAACCCAAAATAAGTTACAATCCAGATATTCGAGAGATTGGTCGAGTGGGGTCAGAATACTGGATCTGGTTTTCAGACTGTCTTTCGCATAATTCCGTGAAAACATGCAAAAAATATTGCTGTCACGTGCAGGCCGAATCGGGCGCTCTTGTACTCAACTTGTACTCTCCGAGTCTCTCGGAACCCATTTTTGACTATGGAAAGTGGAAACTCCGAGTGGTGTCTCTGGGTATTAGACTCAACCAACTGTGGTTGGGAAATGCCGGCTGAAGCAGTACAACAGAGTTGAACCGGTCAACTACCACCGGCCCTCCGCAGATGGCTATGTGGGCCCACAACTGCAGTGCACAGCGGTCACTTCCCTCCATTGAAATACTGGACATTGGCAATGGCACAGCAAACAGCAGTTCTACAGCTCCGCAGTTGGGCAAGGCAGGGGCTCAATTTGGGCTATTGTATCGCTATCGCTTCCATGGGTCTGCATCAAGATGCCCGCTGCTGGTAGTACAGAGAAGGCCATACTTTGAGCTTGAGCTTGCACGTGGTGGTTTCGACGTCGAGGCGGCCGAATGCCAGGCACATGCCGGAACGCATCACAGCGGCAATCACACAATCTTTTACGGCGCAGTGAGCGGCAGTGGTTAGATGGACTAGATTAACAGCCATTCACCCCGGTTAGCTGTTGCTCGTTATTATACTTTGTGGGCGATATTTTTGTGCCGATTTCTCTACAGAGTTGCGGCATTCGTGTCGGCTAAATCATGTTGATGCCGCCAGTGCCGCCCTCAGGCACTGATCACCATGGACTTGTGATTTGGCGGGATTTCTTGTTCCCAAATGCTCTAGGTGAGTGCAAATTGAATGGACAATTAGGTGTATCCATATTTCCACCATGCACGTGGACCGGCATGAACGGCATGTTGCCTCTGGATATCATTTGGGTGTGAAGAACATTTTGACCTCCAATATTCAACCCTCTGCTTTCAATAGCTTCAGCAGTGGCTGTTTGATGACTGAGGTATCCAGCCCTGTTCCCATTTCACCGTGACGGCACAGTTTTTTTTTTTCGTGTTTTCACGGACTTATGTAAATGACAGTATTATCATCCTGGGGGACATAATTGACAACTTTAGACCGAGGCAGGGCAGCCTGCTTGTTCGTACTAGTTGGCCAATTTTCGTGAGGCATCGCCAATTTGTTCCGCGCGATGCGTCACGACAGTCAGTTAATAAGTTATGATCCCGATATTGATCCATTTACAGCCGTTTCAAAAAAAGTATGCGGTTTTTGATCGAGTGGTGCTCCTCGATTTTGCTTGCACTTGTTTGACGGTGAGTCTCCTCCTGCTCCACTTCCGCCCCACTTTTGTCATGAGCTTTTCAGTGAGAAGCAGATTTAATGAGTGAGAAGCGAGTGCCTGGATTTCCACAGGAAAGATAAGATACAGGTTGGTAAAGCTCAGGCCTTGTAGCGAAATGTATTGCGCCCGCCCTTCTTGCAAAGGCGGCAAAAGATTCTGCGGGAGATCCTTGTTCGAATCAAGGCTAGGCCACTATACCTCGTGTGTATTTTTATTTGCGCGTTATACTCCCAATTATTTCGACTTCTACATTAGCCTAGCCATCGTCCCGGACTGATATTCAGAAGTCTTAGGCCGGGCTGCATTCTGAATTTCCAAGTTTCTGAGCCCAACTTGAACCTTCTCACCAGTGAGACATCAAGCCTCAAGCCTAAAAGGTGTGAATTATCAAAAGCGAAGAGTTGCAGTGGGATTTTATGCTCAGTCGATGAGTGTGTCATTTAAAACACTATGGGCGTCGATAGAAGCATAAAAACATCCAAATGCCTCCGAAAATATGGTTGCATCAAGAAATTGCGCGTGTTTGCAGCTAAACCTTAACCGGTTAACCCTAGCCATCTAGACTCAGCCAGGACCCCCTCAAGCATGGCGCCTGAAAAGGGTGTTGTATACTTAGCTCGGCAAGAGGTAGAATGGGAAGGGAACAAGGTCCCCAAGCGATCTCGGAACG